GGAAGCGCAGTGCACTAGGAAGCGCAGTGCACTAGGAAGCGCAGTGCTTGCGGAGGAGAATTAATCACACGAGCCACCAATTATTTTGCGCCAGCCGGAGTGGATCTCTGATCAGATTATCTGTCTCTCTGCTTCCTCACATCAACCTTGGGAAGGAAGTCTGGGTACTCTGGGAATCCCATTTTATAGATGAGGACCGAGGCTCAGGGATATTGTGACTGGCCTGGGCCCAGTCACACGGGGGTTAAAATGTGCAACAAGACCTGCTCCCAGGTCTGCCTCACTCCAGAGCCTGAGTCCCTTACCCACCGGATCACACCGCCCTCTCAGAGTTCTTGAACAGCTGTAGAGTGGTGCGCTCCATGTGACATTGTGTCTTTATCATGCAGGTACCAAGATTTCCATGCATTCGACCTTTCCGAAGCCACACGAGTCCTTGAATGGATTGATGACAAAGGTGATGTGCCCTGCCTGGCCCTGAAGGAGATGGAATCTTCCTTCTCAGGCTGGGACTCTGAAGCTCAGCCCAGAGGGACCCAACCCACACTTCTGGGAATCTGAGGCCTCTTCTTGGTCTCGTAGCAATGTTCACACTCCGTCAGCGCTTATATTCCTCTTATTAAGGTCTAAGTCTCTTCCATTCCCCAGTACAAGGCTGCATACCAATGGCAGAGGAATTTGTCTTTGCTTTGGGGGATTTGCCGGAATTTCTAGACCCCAGCCATGGTCCAGAATCTTCCTAGCAGTTTGTCACAGCTCCTTCTTCTTTTTCCAGGAGTCTGTGTTGCTGGCTATGAAAGCCTGAAAAAAAATGAGATTCTTCATCTGTTACTACCTCTCAGACTTTCTGTAAAAGAAAACCAGGTAACTAGAAATATAAATGCTGAGCATGTGTGTCTCCTTTTGTTAAACCTTTAGGGAGTTCCTGTTGTCTACTAGGTATTGCCCTGGACACCAGAAAGAGAGACGGACAAACACTGGTTCTCCCCTTCTAGTCTAATAGAGGGAGGCAAGTACCCACAGAGAGGAGTGCTACAGAATGTCTGAAATTTACGGGGGCTCCTAGAGGAAGAGGGCATTTTAACGTCATCAAAAAGAGATCCAGGGGCACCTGGGTGGCTCAGTCAGTTGGCAGTGTGACTTCGGCTCGGGTCATGATCTCACAGTTCGTGGGTTTGGGCCCCACATCGAGCTTTGCACTGACAGCATGGAGCCTGCTTCCAATTCTGTCTCCCACTCTCCCTGCCCCTCCCCTGCTCACACATTCAAAAATAAACATGAAAAAAATTTTTCTTTTTTTTTTAAATAGATCTAGAGAGCCATTAGGGTATAGAGGGTGGTGGAAGCCCTTAGAATGGTTGAGATCACCTAGGATGACTGTAGTGTCTCAGGACTAAAAGCAGAAGATGTCCAAAGATAAAACTTCAGGGAATACACGTAAGGAACGGTTAGAGGAAGACGAACCCACAACACCTACTCAGAAGGAATAATAGTCTTCGAAGTAGGAGGGGTGTCAGAAAAGGTCAGTGTTTCAGAAGCGAAGAGAAGAGAACATGTGAAGAAGAAAAGAGGTAGTACCTGCCCAGGGTTGCTGTGGAATCTCTCAGACCCATCTCCTAGGGCAGCCTGACCTTTGTTTCCCTGGGGGGAAGCTTCCTGCCTAGTGCTCTTGATGCCCCCCCCCCCCCATCCCCACCACTCAAGCTTGAGCCGGGAGCTCGCTCACCCATCCTGAGCCTTGATGAGAGGCCTTATTTACCTCCTACCTCACCCCTGGCTTCTTTTGTTTGTGGCCACCTCCCTTCCCTCTGCTTCCGGTTGCTCACGTGGAGATAGTGGAGATAGTGACGTCTGGTGGCCGAGAGCATGAACTTTGGTCAGACAGACTTGGGTGCAGATTCACAGCGTAATCCCTGTGTGACCTTAGAACAGTTGCTCAAGTGCCCTGTGCCCAAGTGTTGTCATTTTCGAATCGGAGTGATTACAAGAACCTACGTGACGGGGTGGTTGTAAGAATTCAATGTGATGATGTAGAAAAAGCACTAAACACAGTGCCTGACACCGCGAACACTGGACAATTGGTGGCTGTTGCATTTTTATCGTTAGAAGAACCGGGGCGCCTGGGTGGCTCTGGTGGCTAAGGTGCCCCACTGGCTCAGGTCACGATCTCACGGTTTGTGGGTTTGAGCCCTGAGTTGGACTGCCAGCACAGAGCCTGCTTGGGATTCTCTCTCTCTTTACCTCTCTCTCTCTCCCTCTGTTCCCCCCCCCACCCAGAGTTCGTCTGAAACGTTCCTTGGGAAAGCAGGCTCTCTGACCAGCCACCCTTTGCATTTCAGGGCTTATTCCCAGAAAGAGATTTCAAGGTACGCCACGGAGGATTTTCAGACACGTCTGTCTTTGATCTGAAGCACGTGCTGGACACAAGGTATGGTTAGCTCCGTGACCCAGCCCTTCCATTTGGGGTGGAGCGGCTAGAAACGTCCGGGGCGTCCTGCCTCTTGATCGCCACCTCTGCCCCTACCCTCTCGGCACACAGGCGCGCCCACACATCCGAATTCACAATATTAAAAAACCATTGTTCCGGTAGCTTCATCTCCCTCGCAGACCTGGGGACGAATGTTCCCCACAGAGCACCAGAGCTGTTCCAGGGAGTGCAGTTTGTCAAAGAGCTGATGCTGGGTAGCGGGACTAATAGCCCCAGTTGGTGGGGGCGGAGAGTCTCTGGGTCAGGGCTGCGTGTTCCGGCTCCGTGCTGGTGTTCTGTGAGGACCCACCAGGCCACGTAGAAGCCTGGGCTCAGTCCCGTGACTCCCATGAGCTCTGGGGCTGTCCCTCATCTGTTACATGGGGGTGACTGGTCTTGATGACCCCTTCCTGCAGGAAGCTCTCCCGGTGTGGGGAATGTAGGGATCCCAAGCTGAGGGTGCGTGTGGGGGGTGGGGAGGTAGGCGGGGGAGCGCCCCACCGTCTGGACTGATACTTCCTATCTGGTTTGAATAGGTTGCTGGTAACCAGTGGTCTTCCAGGTTGTCACCTGCATGTGTGGCAGGTGACAGAGGACAGTGGTGAGTGAATTTGACGTGGTGGGGGCTGGGCTGTAAGAAAGCCTGATACTCCTACACCCTGCCCCCAATGTAAGCCAGTTAAGAAGAGCCTCAGGGGAGCCTGGGCGGTTCAGTCGGTTGAGCACCCAACTTCGGCCCATGATCTCACAGTTCGTGAGTTTGAGCCCCGCGTCAGGCTCTGTGCTGACAGCGCGCCTCAGGCCCTCCATCCGCCTCTCTCTGCCCCTGCCCCGCTTGCGTTCTATCAAAATTAAATAAACGCTAAAAAAGAAAAAAAGCATTCTCGGAGCCAGGCGGGAATGAAAATGCAGTATCTACTTGGTCATGGGCAAAGATGCATTAGCTACCAGAGTCCGGCTTACAGCTCCCAAATGGAGCTTCCTGTAGCTCGCTCCAGGAACTGAGTTTGCCGACCCAGTCGTGAGCAGAGCACCTAGTGAAGCGGCGCCTCTCCCCCCGGCAGGGGCGGCTGCGAGGGCAGAGCTGGGGCCGCTCAGGTGAGCTCGCCTCTTGCAGGAGGTGGTGGCGGCGGGGGCAAAGAGGTCCCCTTTCTTCGTGGCCATGGAAACTTAAGGAGCGAGCAGGAGGCGAGGCGGGGCTGACCAGTCTCCCTCTTAGGTCACTCTGCTCCCTGGCGGGAACAGGAAAAGGAGCTGGGAGTGCTGATCCCGTTCCCTCACGCGGAATAGGGCTCCTTCCGGCAGTGGGTTTGCGGGTTCCCATCCGGGAGGCGCCAAGAGCTTGCGGCCCTGATCCAGCCCCTTCCATCCTCCCACCGTCGGCCAGAATGGAGACGAGCCTCGGGGGCTCAGGACCACTGTTGGAACCGACCCTTTGCTTGTGTGACCCTCTGTCCCCGGCCCCATGCCGTCTCACTTAGACGCTTCCCAGAAACTGGCTGGCGGCTGTTGGCTTCTCCCCAAGTTTCACTGGTACAGAACGGCCGCTCTTGTGCTCATTTGCTTTTCGAAGTCGCTGACTCAGAGGGCTTTTCCCTCGTTGTTTGTCACTTGTCACTTGTCTAATGTTGTATCGTTTCCTTGTACCTATGATGATTTTTTTACAATTTTATTGAAATTCACACATTGTAAGTGGACGGTTCTGTGATTTGTAGTACATTTAAGAGCTGTGCAGCCATCACTATAAATCAGTTTTAGGACATTTTCATAACCCCAGTAACATCTCTTGTGCCGTTTACTGCTAATCCCCATGCCCACACCTGCCCCAGGCAACCACTAACCTACTTCCTGTCTCTATAGTTGGTTCGCCTTTTCTGAACATGTCCTGTCAGTGGAATCGTACAGTATGCAGTCTGTTGTATGTGGCCTCTTTCGCTTCGCACAGTGCTTTGAGGTCTTCTGCGTCACACCTGGTGGCACCTGGTGCCCCAGACACTGTCAGGACGAACGGCAGTGATACATTGTGAATCAGTGGTTCCTTTTTGTGGCCGATTAGTATTCTACTGCGTGGATCTATTCTACTGGGCCAGCCTTCACCAGTTGATGGATCTGATTTTTGGCTATTATGAAGAATGCCGCCAAGAACATTCATCTACGGGTCTCCGTGTGGACATAAGTTTTCATTTCCCTTCGATAGACAGGAGTGGAATTGCTGGGTCAGGTGGTAAATTTATGTTTGATTTTTTTTTTTTTTTAATTTTTTTTTCAACATTTATTTATTTTTGGGACAGAGAGAGACAGAGCATGAACGGGGGAGGGGCAGAGAGAGAGGGAGACACAGAATCGGAAACAGGCTCCAGGCTCTGAGCCATCAGCCCAGAGACCGACACGGGGCTCGAACTCATGGACTGTGAGATTGTGACCTGGCTGAAGTCGGACGCTTAACCGACTGCGCCACCCAGGCGCCCCTACAATTCAATTTTTAAGTTTACAGTTACATTTACTAAATTTTATTTTATTTTAATGTTTATTTTTGAGAGAGAGAGAGTGCACAAGCAGGGGAGAAGCAGAGAGAGAGAGGGAGACACAGAATCGGAAACAGGCTCCAGGCTCCGAGCCATCAGCCCAGAGCCCGACGCGGGGCTCGAACTCACGGACCGCGAGATCGTGACCTGGCTGAAGTCGGACGCTTAACCGACTGCGCCACCCAGGCGCCCCTATGTTTG